CTACTACTACTACTACTACTACTACTACTACTACTACTACTACTACTCAGAAGAATGATGAAGAATGTTGGACAACTTGTGCAGTTGTTTGCCGGAAATCATACTTGGGGACATGGAGGTTTGCATGAGGCACACAACCTGTGTGTTCAAACCTTCGAAGCCTCAGATCTTTCAGGAGTGATTCAAAAGAGAAGGAGCAACGGAACCTGAAATCTGTGCTGATATTTTTTTGAGTCTCTACAGATCCTTTGTGGCTTCAGCACAACTCTGGAACCCACCCAGCCTGGCCCAGCCTCAACTCATGTCCTCCTCCCTCTTCCCCCCTCTCAGCGTCTGCACCCTCGTCTCGTCCACTCGGCCCAAGGGACCGGCAAGTGCCCATGCCCAGCGATCGACCGTTGGGCTTCACTCGGAGTTCAAACTCCTGACCGATCGTGGCACGGTTCGCGCGGCACGGACGTCGTTCGTGGCACCGTGCTGGCGCAGGTGGGTGCTTTTGGGGGGTGTTGGATGGTGTAGGGCATCCAAATGTGCAGGAAATCACACCTAGATCTGCATGCTGCATGTTTGCATAGATCTGCATGTGTGCATCTGCATGTTTAAATCATTCCATCTTTTGAGAATACCTGTGCACAGGAGAACAATGTTGGAAAAACATATACAGGATCTTTGATCACTTCACGAAATCCCTTGTATGTTGCCACTGGCAAGCCATGCAAGGCATGGTATTTCTTCCTAGTTTCCTCGTCTCTATGATCTAGTCTTTAGGTCAGCCTTATCTGTGAATTGTCAAAGAATGTTCAAGCTTGGCTGTTACTATTAAATTGGACACATCATGGACTTTGGATTAACCCTTTTTGCCTGATAGAGAAACACATTGAAGGACGATGACCAGTTGTTTGTCCCATTCGTGCCTGCACAACTCCACGAAGAAAAAAAACCAATCGCACGCGGCCAGAACCCCACGCTGGACAGTCGAGAACATGGAGACTGTCTCCTCCAGAGTGCCATATTGCTCCAAGCGCTTGCGAAGCTCAAAGGCGCTGGTCGTCCAGGAGACGTTGTGGAAAAAGACGCAGGGCCGGAAGCTCCTGGAGCTTCTGGCCGGTCTCGATCTCCCGTTTTCGAGGCGTTTGGAGGGTCTTCAGGACCGGAAAAGGGGAAGGTTCACTAAGTCGGATGTGCGGAGTCCGTGCGGAGATGGTGGGTTTCAGTGGTTTTGCCTCTAAGCATGTCATAATGAAATGTCCAAAGTCTTTAGAGCATTTGGCTCTGCTATGTGTCACCTCTTCCTGCTCAGCACCCGAATGAACGCGAAAGAAAAGGCATCCTGAAACCAGGGGAGTGAGTGGTTTCCTCACCATGGCCCAAAGTCCCATGTCATAGTCTTTGTGAACCAACTCCAAACGTCCCAGACGCATCTGGGCGTGGTGTCACTCGAGAATCCGGTACATCCTCAAGAGGTGGAATCTCTTGCTACACCCCCGGATTTCCGGGCATCTCAGTGCCTCCGGGTGCTAAGTGAAAAAAACATGGTCTATGGCTGTGGGTCATGCTGGGTCATTGGCACCCATGGCGCCCCGGTGACCTTCCAGGGGGCGTCGATTCTCGTCGGTTCACATCAGCCCCATCGCCCGATAAAACCGGTCCAACACGAACAGCGGCCCGAATCAATGGCCGACTGCGGGGCCCAAATCCGTTCCCAGCTGGCTGAGACCAATTCAGATCATCTAAGTCTTGGAGATGATCTACCTCCATTGCAAAAGGAACTAAGAACATATCCATGTTAGTAGAGTAAGTATAGAACAATGCAAATGTCCCGTTGTCCCAAAATCTCCGAAAATCACTCCGCTGACTTTCCGTCACAGGCCCTATCTGACCAGTCTAGCCACAAATCGATTCTGTGTAATCCCTTTGCGTTGCATGAGTCTCTCAAAAATAGGGAAACGCGGCAAGACCACACCGCATGTCTCATGATCAGTATGATCAGTATTCCAACGACGCGGAATGTGACGACGCGTCTCATATGAACTCACATGTCTCACTAATGAAATACCCCTTGATATATACCTTGCTCGTGCAGAAGAAAAACAATCAAGAAAAGGAAGTGTCTTCTGGAGGGCACTTTTAAACAGAGCTATAAACCGAAGACTGAATATGTCTGTAGCTTGTGGCGCGAGATAAAGAGGTCCAGCGCCAAAGCAAACGAATCCAAAAACACCAATCCAATGAGCAATACAGTCTCACTTGCAGATAAACCCCGCATATTTCTGGCCTCAAGGGCACCTCCACAGCCATGCCATGTAGAAAAACAATGAACAACAGTTGATCAACCCTATGATCAGAGATAGCATCATAGCATCCCATGTTCTTCAACAACCACCAACTCGGCAGCATGTTCATTCCCTTGAACAGTGCTCTTGCTCTAGATGTCCGGAAGAATATAGGATGGTATAGGACTAAGAAGCCTCTAAGACTCGTTTTCTTCCTGCCAAGGGGCTTGGGTGGTTTCAAATCCTCATTGGCTGCTGGATCGAGACAATTCCACGGCGATCTACGTGATGGGAGACCATCCGGAACCCATGCGGTCAGGTCCGTTCTGGGGAGAGTGTTGTTGAATGAGATAGACATGGTTTCTATGGTCGTTATCGAAGCTTTTTCGGCAAATGTGTTCTAAAGCTTGCAGAGCAGAGAATGTTTGCAGGGCTGTTTCCTTCCAAAGGCTGTTCAGAGGCACCACAGGCCCAATTTGCCAAGCATGAGAAGCACCCGGACCTCTTCTTTCTTTGCTGCACTTCGTGGATATGTCTTCCCCAGCATCACAATAATTATCATGTCTTAAGGCAAGCAACCGCCAGAAAGCACGCTAACTTACAACTGAAAAAAGTCTCTGAACAAGTCTTTGAATCTTCAGAATTCCGTGCAATCTGAAGCATTCCAACCCTCCTCGTACACTGCGACAAGGAGCAACTTCCAGATGGATCTGCCGGTTGTCCACCCACGCGCCATTGAAGCGTTGCACGGCTCTCTCCGCTGCGGACTTGGAATCCTCGGTCTACGGCGTCGTGGGCACCAGGAGAGACCGGTACGGTTTCCTTCGTTGACCGCGGTGAGTGGTGAACCAGGTCTGGTCCGGTCGACCCGCGAACCTGGTGGTGGCACCTCCCCACAACCCCACGTGCTCACCCCGAGGGAGGGAGGTTTCTTCATCGATCCGCGGGATTCGCGCTTCTCCCAAGATCCGTCGCAAAGGAGCGACGAGTCGCCCCAATCTTGCCGATAAATCTGTCCAATGATGTCCGCGCGCCCTGGGGAAAAATGGGTCAGTGCCAAGTACCATATACCGATCTTGGTTCTAAGACTACAAAACCCAGGTTCCCCCTGCCCTCCTATTCTCCTCCGCCAAGGGCATACTCCCTTGAACTAATATGGAAGTGGATGGCATGGCCCCGAAAGGAAGACCATTTTCCCAATACCAAACAGGTGGTGAACTCCATGTCCATGTGAGTTCGAGTATTTGGGGCCGTAATTTCATGGTCTCTACCTCGCCCCTCCCCTCGTCCTTAACCAAGATAAGTTCAGGGAGTGTTTGGGTTATTTGTAGTGCCCCTTGATGCCTTGATTCATCACATTGACCTGTGCCATAAAGGGGCTGTCCGCAAGTAGTATGAATGACGTGGTGTGAATACTGAGCAATTTTTTGGCTCACTTCATTCAAGTAGGGATGTCTTATGGGCCTCTGCAGCCATGAAGATCTCCTTACTATTTCTTCAGCCAGAGCCGAATCGCCACTGGGCCCTGGCTCACCACAGCCGGGCTTCGAAGGTGCAACTCCCCCAGCCCAAGGACTTGCCGTCATCGGAGCGCTGCAGCGCAAAGCACAGCACCGTGCCCGCCTCCCAGACGTTCGCGTCCAAATCATCGCGTCGAACGTTCGATCCATGTATTATAGTTGCATGTATCTGATCTTATCTTATCTCTCTCTCTCTATTAATGCAAGATCCGAGATCCAGTGCATGTATTATAGAGAGAGAGAGAGTGAGCTTGTGCCAAAACGTCCTGTTCGTCGTGTCTACGACAAGAGTGGCAGCCGGCCTACTCGCCTTTCAGGGGAGTGCGGGGAGGCGTGCAAGACGCCCCGACTGGAAGAAGGGCAATAGACCAAAACCCATTGATTGAGGTCTCCCGATTCATATACACCCATAAGAGTACACTCCCTGAGTACCTAACAGGGTTTCCACTTCCATGATGATTCCACAAAAGTGCACATGATTGTACAGCAATCCAATGGAGCAAATGTATGTATACAACTTTTACAACTTATATTCCATGCATGAATAGTTTTGAGGTATATGGAGCTTGGGAAGCTGGTTGCTGCTGACCCTGCTAGCAAAAATGTCTTCGAGCTCGCCGCCGAGCTGCTCCCACATGTCATTCCCTCCCTCCAAGTGTCAGATTGTATGGCATTCAAATCGTGCATCTTCGGCCATCCATGAGACCAAAAATGGGGGGAAAGGGCTGATGCTGCACAAGTAGCATGCGGATGCAGTTTATGAATCTCCATGTGAACCACAGCATGGAGTTGGTGGGGCTCAACCGAGCCTGCTCGCTCCGAACCTCCTAACCCTCCGAGGTCGGACCGGCCGATCCGTGGGGAGCGAGCGAAGCCTCGCCCAGCGAAGACTGGTCTGGTGAGGCATCCCTGAAAAGGAAAGACAAGAAACCAGAGCCCAGTCTGGAATTGGCTCAAGGGCAGTAGTGTGGGTGCATCCTTAGAACACGCACAAGCCACAAGCTCACAAACATCTAAAGCCGACCCACTCTTCTGCCTTTGAGTCTGACAAAAGGCCCCATCTCGAGCAGGTGAACCACTCTCGGCCCCATCTCCATCTGTCCCGCACCTTCGAGAAGAGCCACCGGAGGAAACCTCCACACACCGACTGCGCCCCCAACGTCCGCTCGTCGCTGTCGGTGCAGGGCGGCGACAAGTTCTCGTGTGTAGGTCGATGGTCGTTGAGGGTGAGTCGCTCCACTGGGAAGAGCCGCCGGATGGTCTGTGTCCCGAAGCTGCATAGGTGGATGCTTCGGGACATGCTAGGCAGGGGACCAGTGGTCTGAACAAGGAAGGACCAACAAGTGTTAAAGGGGTCAAAAGTATGTCAAAAGTGAGAAGCCTCAATACCCTGAACATCGCCCCCCCCTCCACACACAAAGTGGATGCTGTTCGACTGGTCTCTAAAGAGCTCAGAATTGGTGAAGAGCTCAGAATTCTTCACTTCTCATCTGTTACACCACACCAGACTCTTGGTTCATCTATGGAGGCTTCACACGGTTTCACTGGGTTTTGGTGGCTTTGAGCCCAACATTCTGAAGATGGTCGTTCCATCTGGCAAGCTGAACTCCCAGTCGCATGCCCCAAAAAGCTATCTTCTCCACTTTTGGCGTTGTCCTCCCACACTGCACACCCAAGTCCCAAAGACCTGCATGTGATGCATTTGCAGGTCTTTGGACTACAAATACCTTCATTCAAAGCTATCAACATCCTTGCGAGTGAATCCTTCCCCACACGATTCTTGCGGAAACCGCCAACCATAAAACACATCTTCTCTTGGCACAGCCACCCAACCGCTCACCGTCCACCCGCGTCGAAGGTCTATCTAGACGTGCGCGGGGCGCCCGAAGTCGGCCTTCCGTGCTCACAGCATTGCAGTTGCTGAAGGTGACCGAGCCTCAAACGCTTTGTGGATCGAGAACGAAGCTCTTCAATGCTTCAATGCTTCAAGCGAAAGCTCTGGGGCAGGGGGCGAAGGATGTTCACACATGTTTCTGGGAAATGAAAACCATCAAGCCGCCAACTCCCACATGGTCTGCAAAAAAGTGGATAGCATTCGGCTGCAGCTGGTGACCTATAGAGTCAGGTGTTGGTATGGAACCATGGAACCTGCGCCATGTTTTCACCATAAGTCCATGACATCTTACTGATTGTTCGAGTATAGGAGAACTGCTATCATGGCAGAATACCTGTCGAAATCTTTGCCGGCTTTGTTACTGATGGCCCTTACAACTCTCCATGATCCACTGTTGGCAGGAACTGGTGCGCAAGTTCCCAGAAAGACAAGACTGGCTCCATGGTGATATCCTTACCCCGCATAAGCTTGTACTTGAGCTGTGGAAAAAGAACAACACGGGTACCGATTACCGATATGTACCGACGATGTTATTTTCATGCTACGTGGTCGATAGTAATGGGAAGCTACGTGTACTTCCTGAGGACACGTGTGGTGTCCTGGTTGCTCATTCCCATCAGCAGTGGACCGTGGATAATGATGTCACAGTCTCGCGGTCTCTAGTGGTAAGCTTGGACCTTTTCCAACTGTGGAAATGGGACAAATTGGACAAAGCCTGTTCCGAACCTGCTGTGCCTTCTGAGGTTCAATCAAGTCTTCCCTGATCTGCTGGAGAGCATTTTTCAGCACTCCCGGATCTGACAACCAGTCAGCAAGTTTGATGCTCTCCCTTGTTCTCCCGATCCAAGGCTAGTGCATGGCTTCTCAGGTGGCTTGTTCTCCTCCGGTCCAGGAGCAACCAGTCTTGATCGATTGTGACGGCGGTGTAGCTAGTCTCCTGTCCTGTCAGAGTGGATACAATTTGACCATAAATTTGTCAACATCTTTTCGCCGGCCATTAGGCCACTAACAAGGTTTTGGACAGACCCGGCCCAAGTCAACCATATTCCATCTCTCAATCCCCCACCCAAAGCTGCCCATTCCAAAGACTCAACTTAAATCCCAAAAAAGACCTGCTTGGCATCCCCAAAAACCCAACCAGCCTTTTAAAAGACTTGCGCGTGCACGGGTCCACGCACCCAAAGCTCCACCAGCCCCGGTCCTGGTAATATTCGCCGCACTCCTCGCTCACGGGACGCCATAAACAGACCCGCATGGTGCGGCCATGCACGTACCTGTGGGCACGGCTCCATCCGCGGGTGGAACGCGGCGCATGCGGAACGGTGGTATGGGGGTTACGGTGGGTTGATTGAGGTGGAGGAACACATCCATGGATGAGAGGCTAGGATGTATGATCTTTTTGTGTGGTCCCAGACATGAATTCGACCTCAATCCGTAGGGGCTGGACATTCTTTGGAGGGCTCTGGGAAAAACAGTACCACCAGAGTGGACTCCCGCCATCCCATCACAAAATTACTGTGAGTGCTGCACCAAGAAGTAGATTGGTGTGCAGACTGCCATACACAATCATCTACATCTGAAACCACCCTACATATATACACTATCTATGCGTTACTGGCTATACTATCTATAGCTGTAACTAAAACCAATTCAACATAGCCCTACTTACTGACTTAGCACAGTATGTTCATGTCTGTTGGGGTCAAGACCGAAATCTGTCAGGACTCCGACGAAGACCTGGGCATCCCTGGCCAACCACTCAGCTGCTTCACCGCCATTGCAGCGTGGGCCGTGGAGCTATAGGTCACTTTGCCTGTGGGTCAAGTGCCGCAAGCGCCAAAGGAAGACGTGGAGAGGTTCCTCAGAAGAGGGTGTTCACTTTTCCTTAACGATATCATTGGATCCTCTCATGGAGGGTTTTGAGGGGTTTGGACCTTCAAAAAACCTTCACCTTTGATTGTCCTTGATCTCTTAGGGGCTGGAAGGACGAACATCGCTACGAAGCTCCCTGTGACCCGAAACTGGAGTCCCAGACCTCAAACCTCAGGGGATCAAAAGGATCGCTTCGCAGTAATGAAGACTCCCAGGCAAACGACTCCCAAGCATCCTGGTCTTTGATGCTGAAATCCATCTTGGATGAAACACACCTGCAACAGCTGTACTCGTTTGCCTCCTGTGAAGACCGGGACGCATGGAAAAGCGCTGTCATCTAAAATCCTGAAAACCAAAGAGCTGGTTGTTCTTTGAACTCTTAAAACATTCAAAGTACCCATAGACCCCAAACACTACTTATGGTATGTAAATTCTGGGCCAGGAATCCTTGTTGTCTCTTTTTGTGATCTCTACCTCCCAAACCTTCCATGCCACCTGGATGGGGTCGACCTTTGGTCGGGTGTCCCGGTTTCCGGCCTCGGCCCACGGACTGGCCATCCGGTCCTTGCGGGGAGACAAACCACCACCGAGCCCGGCCGAAGGGTGAGGCAACCTGAGAATACTTGTATAGGACACACCACCTGCAAAAGATCAAAAGTACGTAACCTGTTCTAACCTGCATGACTCAGGAAAACATGCCTGGGATCTGTCAGAAATGAAGTTCGTCCAAGCCAAATCAACAAAAAAAGGATTTGGCAGGTTCGGGGCAACTTTGAAACGGGAAGGTCTTACCATGAAATACGGGGTTCAAACTTGATGTCTTTGGCCAAAAACGTGCTGTTGGTCCATCTCTATTTGCATTTGGGGAGTGACCAAATGTGTCACATCAACGACACCCTTTTAAGGAACTACCATGCGCCTCAAGAACCTGTGTGTTCTGCTTGTCCAAAAATATGCCACATGGCGGTCCAAACCGCCGGGAGACTGTCTGCAGATGCTGGGAGACTGTCTGGTCTCTGCGAACGCGGATGGCGAACGTGGATGGCGTCCTTTCCAAAGCTCAAAGCTCTCGACATGACCAACCTCCGAGAAGAGCGACTTCAGGTATTCCTCGAGCAGGTCACAGCCATGAAACAGGAGTTGTACGCAGAGGACCACATGGAACCCCAAAAGCACCGGGCCTTAGAGGGTATGTGGATCTTCCAGCTGGATCAACTCTCCATGTTCGTTTGTGGAGGGAGATATCCCGGGAGGCCAGCCTGGCGGAAAAGATGGGTCTCAAAATCCATCTGTTGGAGGGATATGGAGGATCCGAAGGATCTCTGGAGGATCCGAAGCATCTCAACGAGACTTCAACGAGTCACGATGGAGGCAAGGTCTGATCCTCCTCAAACAAACATGGAAGTGGAATATGACCTCCCTTCAAAAACACGGTGACTCTACAAACTGAAAGTGCATCTATTGTCTTTCCTTCTTGCTCCTTTCAGATGGTTTTTCACAATACTCATCTTGCCGTTAGAAGACGCTGGCAAAGTCGAGTTTGACCTTCATCCTTGACAAAGTTCTTAGAAACGACTACGACCCATGGAAGTCGCATATTTACCGATCAGTTGGGACGGTCTTTGGGGTCAATGCAGGCATACATGGAGTGTATGGGGATGGTATCACAAGGTGTCAAGCCATGAATAGGTAGCCCACAAACAGGATGACAACATCTTCGACAAAAATTCAAGGTACGCTGACTGCTTTAATCAAATTGCAGCACATCAACGTGCGCCCTTCTTGTCACCAGTGGTTTGTAAAGGAACTCATCTTCCAGGAGGTCCATCCAGCACATCATTGGTAGTAGTAGTAGTACAACTAGTAGTAGTAGTAGTAGTAGTAGTAGTAGTAGTAGTAGTAGTAGAACTAGTAGTAGTAGTAGTAGTAGTAGCAGTAGTAGTAGTAGTAGTAGAACTAGTAGTAGTAGTAGAAGAACTAGTAGTAGTAGTAGTAGTAGTAGAACTAGTAGTAGTAGTAGAACTAGTAGTAGTAGTAGAACTAGTAGTAGTAGTAGTAGTAGTAGTAGTAGAACTAGTAGTAGTAGAACTAGTAGTAGTAGTAGTAGTAGTAGTAGTAGAACTAGTAGTAGAACTAGTAGTAGAACTAGTAGTAGAACTAGTAGTAGTAGTAGTAGTTGTTGTTGTTAGTAGTAGTAGTAGTAGTAGTAGTCGTAGTCGTAGTCGTAGTCGTAGTAGTAGTAGTAGTAGTAGTAGTAGTAGTAGTATATAACTAGTAGGTCTCAACAGTGCTTGTTGTTGTTGCTCCTGTTGTTCAACAACAGGCCTTGACACCTTTGGCCCGTTGGGGTCAAAGGAACCCCGCCACCGAAGGCAATCACTGCTTCTTCCCTCAGCAATCTATTCACACCCTCAGGCTAGTATCATCTGACCATGTGAAGCATTGTCAACATGCAAAACAAACCATCTTTCGAAAATGGTATTGTGGACCAGTGAACTTATGCCCTGGTTTGTGAGGCAAGGAAGGCAAGGATGAAGGAATTTGGTGGGGGGATGAATCCAAATGAACATCATCATCCCAGTCTGATTGGGGGGTTGAATCATCCCATACTGATTTGGTTTGGTTTGGTTTGAGTCTGATCTTGACTGGGCCTACAACATCCCAGTATGATTAAGACCCAAGACCAACTCCCTGTAAATCCCCTCGAGCACTTGTCGCCTGTCTACAGTCTACAGGTGTAGCTATAGGTTCGTCCAGTGGGCTGAGCCCGCCTCCGGAACGCGTCGGGACAAGTGTGCGAAGAGGACGGAATAGGGATCTGTCCTCGGTGCACGGATGCTGCCTGCTGCCTGATTGAGACTTGCATCAGAGTCGGGTAGGAAGATGATGCTCCGTCATAGCCTTACTCAAACACACCATGTATGGTATAAATGCATACAGACCCCTGAAACCACCCCAAGGAGTGTTTGGGTTAGAATTGAAAAACCTTGTATGCTTTGTTCACGTCGATTTGGGCATGCCTCAAAAAGAAGACTAGTCAAGGAGAAGATGCTCAAAAGCCTGCAGGTTCCTGGATCGCTTCTTTTGGAGGATAGCCATGTACCTACTTCTAACCACGCAAAAACATCCAAGAGAGAGAGAGAGAGATACCCCGAAATCAAACAAAACCATCTTCTTGGTCATGGTCAAACATACAATCACACAAAAACCGACCGTCTCAACTTGTAACTGCTTGGTGCCTTCAAGATCACGAACAAAAAATAGGAGTCACTGGGTTCAAACATCCAAAGTACAACCGAGCTGCAAAGGTTCAAACATCCAAAGTACACTCCGACTCACCAACATGGAAGTGGAACATGGCCCGTTGAATGACCAATGTCCTCTTTTCCACTGGAACCTGTTGAGTCGGAGTGTATCTGAAACCACCACCCGCCATGGCACGCTGCTGCCATGGCACGTCTTCCTGGAAGCACGCCCTGCCCGCCGTTCGTCGCGGTCCTTCTTGTAGCCACCGAAGTGGCCTGCAAGGACAAAGCACATTGAACCCACGACGCCCCGAGGAAAACGAGCAATCCTCGAAGCCTCCAGTTCGGTCTGGTGGTCTGGGGCCTCTCAAAACCCTGTGAATGCAAGGTGCATTTGAGTAGTGGCATGGTACATTCATGGTACATTCTTTGAGTGGTGGAAACACATGCGACATGACGTCAATTGCACCAATTCTTGAGGGTCCGGATCCCGGATCCTAAGATCACAACCAAACTCACAACAATAGGATCGTCTACAGACCATTGATTCGTTGTATCAATTCGAATTGACTAAGGTGTATCAATTCGTTGTAAGTATTTGCATATCGTCCACCTTCTCTGGTCATCATAGCAGTTGTGTACAAACCACAAGTTTCCTGCACATGGTACCTGACATATGTCTGGCTGACTCCGATGCAAAAGAAGAAAAGGAATCCCAGCACGGACATCCCAACCATTGATTTCTTGCCATGGACACACATGTTGTATCGATATTATTATCTCCCTCTGAATGTTTTTTGTGATACTACTTCCCCCGAAAATAAACCCTCTAAAAAAGAAACACAGTCCGAAAGCCCTGTTCCGGCCCGTCAGCCATCCCAAGCAGGCCGGTAATGCCGTTCATGCGTTTTTGGAACTCCTGGGCCGGCTGATGCTGAGTGCGGACCTCCAATGGATTGTGTATTTTAACAAACTGGCTGAGTAAACAGGTCTATTTTCCGTTTTCTAGGGGGTCGGAAGGCCTAGGTCTCCCTAAACCCGTGCTATCTCCGCAAAGCCATGGCAGTCAGACATGGCGATAAGTAGAGAAAACACACATGCCGATGTTCCTCGAGCTATATAGTTTGAGGGGCAGTTTTGTTGGGGACTCCATGAATAAAATCAATTGAAGCTCCAAATCACTTCATCCCAGATCCATCCACCTCTTTCTTCCATGAACCCTAGAAGTCAAAAGACTCAATAAAAGGCAGCCAACCGTTGGAACAGTTCTTCACGAAAGCCAAGTTGCCCTTCTCAGCTTCGTCGTCTTGATGTTCTTCACCAGCATCCTGGTTTTATATTGGCATGAGCAGGCGTGGAGCAGCAGGCGTGGAGTTTTTGCTTGGTCAACCAGAACGCCCTTTCTGAAGTGAGCAGGTGATAGCAGCGGTCGAGTTTCGAGCCGCCCGGTCAAGGAACGAAGGAAGGCCCTTGAAACCAAAGTGAAGAATCCCAAAAGAATGAATAGTCACCCTGTGCCATTCTACCAAGTACCAAAGAATCCCAAAGTGCCAAACACCCTGTCGGTTTGACTCATTGTCCATATTATGAATAGGAGAGGAGACAATCATTTCTGGAATCGATGGAGACTTCGAACCTGGTGCTCTTGGTGCTGCTGTGCGAGTAATGTAGACTCTTGATTTAAACAAAATGATATGAAGAGGTTGTTCAATCCAAATGGAGGGTTATCAATCAACGAGTCTACATGAGTGTATATGATTTGTGCCTTGACTAATCGAAGTATACATATGTCCGATCACGTTGGCAACACCAGTGAGATCGCGCGTTGGCAACACCAAGGATGGTCAGAATTGGAACTGACAAACGAAATCCTCTGGTATAGTACAGAACAGCCACCATATGCCCTAATCAGTATGTTTGATGGCTATGGATCAACATACTTGTTTCTTCTCAACGGAAAAATGAGATACCTGCCCTGGGAACGAAGGTCAAGGAAAAGACATGGGTATCATCCCGATCTTTCCGTTCAATATCGCAGGTCGCAGAGGTACAAACCCAAACAAAACCGTTGACATTCATCCATCTTCCACAAAACTTGGCCACCCAGAATCTTGAGGAGTATAGTCATAGTTCCCGCGCAAAGCAAACAAGCGAAGCGACAAGGACACTGAAAAACCTACCATTCCTCTAGTCTAGTCGGGCAACTCCATGAGATTAGAAATGGAAATTATATTACGTTGTTATATGTTTTTCGTTTCTTGACTTTCATTCGTTCTGTCTTTCTGTCTGCCTGTCTAGTTTTCTTTCTTTCTGTCTGTGTTTTTCTTGTTTTCTTACTTTCTTTAGGTTTGCGCACGTACCTGAAACCAAATATATATAATCGTTGTCTGTACGACAGGTCGGGCAAGAACACTAGATAATATAAAGCTTGCCAGCAACACACACGGTCTCCGTTTATATTATCCTATACGACAGGTTGCATTTTTGCGGCCCAAAAATTGTATAAATCCTTGTGTTCCTGACTACTTGAAACCATTAACAAAAAAAGGTCAACGAGAGCATTTCTGGGGAACTTCCCAACACGGATATTACATTTCTCTGTGCAACATCGAGGAAAGCATACTAAGGATTTTAAAGCGGCGTTTCTTCTTTCTTCTAGGCGTCTTTCTTCTTCGAGCACAATGTTTAGTGCTCAACTGCCAAGCGACTGGGACGGATGGATATTGAGAGCGACTTCAAAAAAAAACAACATCAAACATTCCACAACGATGTGCCAGCAGGAACCAACAGCCGCAAAAACAGTTCAAAAACCAACACATGTCGATCCATCCAGATCATCCAGTTGTGCTTTTCCAAGGAAGAAGTGGCAAGGCTCGGAGAGCAAAAGTTGGATCAGGTTGGTCGGGACACCAGGTTTAAGTTCATGCAAATTGGAGAAAGGCCCACTCCCGCCTACATTCTTCGATAAATTAGAAGTTTCCTAGAAACTCCTCAAATTGTGCTCTTATAAAATCCTGAAGTTGAGTCTTATATGAAATCATGTTTTTCTTTGTTTTGTAATTTTCCTGCACTGTCAACCTTGAAATCATGCTTTAAATTAATGGTTGTCCAGCTACAGGAAAAGATAATTGCCGTACAGACCGGGAGCTCTTGCACATGGCTTGTGAAAGTCGGGGGTCAGAGAATGGTTTCTGAATGGATTCTGAAAGAGGATTTTTCTTGCCGTCAGAGAGCAACGTTTGGCACTGAGAGAGCAGCTCCAAGGATTATTGTTTGTTCATATTTTGGTGTGGAAATAGATGCCAGAAAAGCGTGGCGAGGGAATTCCCGGAGCTCTTGCACGGCTTGCAATTGTATGTTTTTGATGAGCGCTTTGCAGCAGCTTCATGATTATGCTATGATATGATATGAGCGCTTTGCAGCAGCTTCATAATCATAGGCTTACTATGAGCGCCTTGCAGCAGCTTCATGCCCGTGATATGACTGGGGTCGGCGTACCCGGTGTAGCTGCAGCTTATCGCCTATTGCTTCAGCTACGCGGGGGTGCTCCCGATGCCCGCGGCCCCCCCCTTACGGTGTTTGGTGAAATCGAGCTAAAACAAGTGCGCTCTCGCCTGCATTTCAAGCCCTTTTTCAATTGTCTGCAACAGGACCGTTCGCCTTGGTCTGCTCGTCACAACTTGAGCGCAAGGGAGGCAGACTGGCGATGATGGAGCGGCGAATACTTCCTTTTGGTGATTTCTTGGCAGCAATCCCAACAAGGGCCTTTCTCTGCCAAAACCTGTAAGTCTTCCACTTGTCTTTGGCTTCTTGGATTCCTGCTCTCAAATCCTCTGCGCGCTCACGACGGCGCTTAAGTTCTGGAGCCACTGAATGTAGACGAACTGTCTGCCTTGGTGGCGATTGGGCTTTTTCACGCTCTGGAACTCGTCTTTGAAGAGGAGGGCGGCTGTGCTCCTGCTTCTGATGGTGTTGTCTCCGAACACGTCTCGCTTTCCTCGGCCCTTTGACCTCAGTAGTGCTGCGGGCCCTAGCACTACAGTCCTCCTCAAGCTCCTGGGCTGCTTCCTGTTCAGCCCTTGCAATGATTCTTTCCGCTCTGCGGACGGTGCCCCCTTCCTGTCTAGAAAGGGTGGCAAACATGGACCGTTTTCCCCTTTTCTTTTTCGGGGGAACCCTGTCGGTGGACTCAGTACTCACAACTGGCGCGGTGCCACCCGCAGCCAGCTGCAAGCTTGGAAAGCAGTCCCTGATCGGTCAGGGCGCCGCTACCATGAAACCTTTCTCGCTCGGGCACTCAGCAAAAGGGGCTACATGACTGACATGCAGCGAAGTTTCAAGTTCCTTCAAGGTTATCTTACATGGGGTGGAATAATCTTTACATCTCAACAACAGTGCTTTCACAAATGTCGGATCTAGAAAAAACATGTCGCAGCAATGCAAAAACTGCGTAAATATCGACGTTTTTTGGGGCATGGCGCGCAGAATGCTGAAAATATCGCGCTTTTCGAGAAAACCTCGTAAATACAAGTGGTTTTGAGCACTCGATAGCTCATAGCCATCGGTATTTACGTGGTTTCCTGGCGAAAAAGCACCGAAAACTACGCAAATAGCGTGGCTTTGGGACACTTTTGAAGCCTCGAGGAGGAAAAAGCATTGATATTTACCGTGCTTTCCATCTTTTTGGTCATGATAAAAAGGCCTCTCCACCACCAGCCTGAGGGATTTTGCCTGGTCTCTTTTCGCTTGCGCGCCTCAAACGTGTTTGATACGAGGTCTCGGGCGGCGCGCGCGACGCATGCGAAAGGAACAACAACCATAATAACCAGGCAAGAAATACAAAGGCAACGGAACAGTAAGCAAGTGTCCGAAACTGAACACGATAGCGAACACGCGCCCAAGCGGCATCGCCGGTCTGCGAAGCTCTACAATATGTATATATATATATATAGAGAGAGAGAGATAGTGTTTATATATATAGGTATATACGTGTATATATATATATCGTTTGAAGATGTCTGTAGGGCATCGATCTGGGCCACATCGATCCAAACGGCCCTCCACCCGTCCGTCGATCCGTCGATCCGTCGATCCGCGTCCGTTTCTCCTCATCTCCTTGGCCCCTTCAGGCTGCGCCTGACTCGAGCCGGTCTCTTCTGACCGGTTGGAGCTGACCGGTCGGTTCGGGGGTGATGAATACCAACATCAAAGCCATTTATACTGCCACCCGGGTGAACGCGAAGGTCCAGTCAGCTGCGAAGTGGGTTGATCAGCTGCTACATGTTCAAACAAGGGACTTGACATCTGGTTGCAGGGGGGTTGATCAGCTGCTACAAGCAGGGGAGGTCTGTATTATTGTGTTGGTCCTTCGAACAAGGTCGATAACTAACAGGAACAGCCTTTGGCACGGTATTTGCATCGCGAACTTCGGAGCATCAGGAGCAACAAGGACGACCATCGACACACCATCGACCCCCAGTTCACCTGGAAATCACAATACACATCAACTTTTCTAGCCGGGAGACAAGAAAAACAAACAAGACAACACAAACTCACCTGCAGGTCCACCCCAATATAACCTGCCATGATTTCGCCCTCTCTCTCTCTTTCTTGATCTCAAGCTCCACTGCTCTGTCCACGAGCTGTGGCTTGGACAGAACATCGACGTCACGCTCGCTTCCTGGACCTCCATGTCGGGGTCACCTGGCTGGTTTCGCCCACTAAGGGACCTCCAGCCAGGACACCCCTTTTTCAGGTCCAGGTGTCTTTCTCTCGTTTTGCAAAACCAAAGCTCCGTGAAACGCTCGTTCCGTGCCACGCCTGGCCCGATTGGGCGCGGTGCCTCACCTCCGCGTTCGTCAGCTTCGGCGTCGGCCGCGGCATGAGGCCGCGGGCCTGGCGCGGGGGGCGAACGGGCGCGCGCACCCGGGAGGAACGGGCGAATTGGGGTGGGGAGGGAATTGTTCAAAGGTGCCACATGTTACTGTTGGTCCAAATGATAATGATTACACAAAGGTTCAATGATTCCACATGTTGGTTCAAAGGTTCATTCGGATTACACAAAATGTTGGACCAACATGGAAGGAACAAGTAGTTGGGCGGATGAAGGACACTTGCCATCTCTCTTTTGCACGCAATTTTCCACAAAAGGCTTTGCACATGAAAGTGTGTTGCAATGGAAGTTGATGCCATGCCCAATGTGATAGACCTCTTCCAAGTGTGTCGCTTGCGCGAGGATCCTTTTCGAACGGTTGTAAACCTGCTTGGGCCCTACAGCGATTCACTCCAGGTTGCATGCACTGTGGTTCACCTCCCAGAACCACCATCTGCGCAGTAGCTCACCACCACATATGTCAAACCACCAAGTAGACAAAGGCCTTGTTGCCCCTGAACATGGGGCCACCCTTGGTGGGCTGACATAACAGAACAAGAAGAAACCAGGCCAAATCGATTTCAATCTGGGATACCTTTTACTATGCGCCAAGAGGTTTCTTGGTGGGTGGCTGATACCTTGTCACCTGAAATCGCCCCTCGAAAAGTCCGGTACACCACTCCCAGTCCCCATGATGTACGGTACCGTACGGTACCCACCGTGGTGAACCACCCGCACGCCCAGTGGGCCGCCTCTCCACGGGCCCACGCTTCGGCGTGGCTGGCCCAGGAGGCCTCGCCGTGCCACCAAGCTGCCTTGGAGTCCGGCGGATACGGACACGGAGACCATTCATGCACATGTGGAATGAGGTTTCGGCGTTGCGGTCGAAATGGTTTTGTTTCATGAGTCGAGTCTAAGTCTCACATGAGTTTTTCCGGACGATGGTGGCATTGATGATGGTCATGGGGTAGTGACGGTGACCAGCCTTAATGTATCTTGACTAGTTCAAAGCAGTTGAAATAGAAAGTTACACAACAAAAAACACTATATTATAGGATTACAAAACATCTTCATATGGGGAGTCATTAACCAAGAGTCTATAGTCTATATTATTCTGAGACCAACCGAAGCTGTCAAGGTACCTTCTCACTGGTGCGCCGCCGTTCCGGGGCACTGATCAAGCTAGCCTGGAGAGCGAACCGGCGGCGTGTCGTCAACACGCCCTGGCACGCAAATACCATGGGTTGACGAAATGCCCGAAAATCGGAGCAACTTGGTAGACTTAAGAGTTATGCAATCAATTTGTGGCAATCAATCTGTGGATTCGTGGATAGAATGATATAAATATAATTAGAATGGTCACATGTTCTGGGGGGTGTTAAGTAACCTCTTGCAAGTTGTTGATCCATAATACACGTTAAATTAAAGGTAAAGAGATCAACAAATGTAATACTCAAAATATCTCAAAGTAGAAACCGACGTGAACCTACCAACTGTTGAATGAGTTTCACCAATATGGAAATCTGTGGCTAGAATATAAATCATTTCATGCCGCTATTTTCTGCCACCCTGCTAGATGGGAGAGCAGCAACATGCAGCAACTATATATATATATATATATAATCGATTCTTGATCTATGCCGGAGCAAGGCTGTCATTCCCTTTCTCTTACTCCCGGTGATGAAATCCTCAGCTGCCTGATCTTTCGGAAATTACCAAGACCTGAAAAGCTACCGAACCACCAAATCGTCGCCCGGAATTCGAGTGGATGAGCGAAAAATACTCACACCCTGAGCCAGAGTTTGGGGTGCCATAGAGATCCATATCCAGCCATGTATTCACAAGAGTCACTCAAATTGCCAAAGATCATAATAATAGACTAAGCGAATCCATATACATATTTATATACAGTATATATGTGTGTGTGTGTGTCATGTGGTTTCATGGTTTGCCCCTCAGATCCACTTGGATATATGAACTTCCCAAGCTGGTTGGTGGCTTCGACTCACGAACAAAAACAACAAAGAGTTTCAGTGGGTTCAATCATGTTCAATCCTCCTAAGAAGTCTAGCGCGACGCGCTATAATTATTAGTCACAGTCTCCAGGTCAAACGCCACAGTCTCACAGTCTCCGAATCATCCGAAGTATAAAGGTTGTTGTTCTTTTTCAAAAAAATGTCAACATCTCCGAAACCATCACCTCCACGGAGATTGCGAACTCTTCGAGTAAGCGGTGCCTTCGGGTGGCTGCGGCCCCACTTGGCCTGGACGGAGCAGGATCCTGGAGTAGATAGAACTTGAACCCCCGAAACCTGAGCAGTTTCCTATACATACTTGTTGGATCTTGCTGGATTATATAGTTAGGCTGGATTTTCCTATGTTCTGTGTCTGCTCCAGGATGACGATACTCGTTTGTGATGCAAAAGAAACACGAGCATAAGGCGAGTCCGAAATGTTTCTTGGACGAACATGTTCTTCCAATCGCCCGAACCCTACTCTACGCTTGGTTCTTGTGGATGGAATCGGATGATTCCGTGGCTTTGCTATACTTTGGAACCGAGTCAGGAGATTGGTATCAATGCCGTAACTAATGGCACCCTGGCAGGCCAGGTGTGGCCAAGATGGGCCAATATGGATGTGTTTCGCAGGACAATGTGGCCCGAAACAAACCAGGGAAAATAAATGAGAGAAAAAGATTGCGCGACATCCATGATGTATTGATTGGCTTTGCAAAAATCCCGACCAATCCCATACGTGCCTGTTTGCACATGTGTAGCCGCCCAACAATCGGTGCAAGGTTGCATACTTCTGGATCTGGGAGGCATCATCGCTCAAGATTTTCACCAGAGCTGTCATCTCTTGCAGGAGTGCATTGCAGCAGCCCAGCAGCAGGAAATCTCACCGGCTCCAGAAACTTCGAAAGAGCGCTGTTTTGTCCAATGGACAAGCTCTTTCAGTAACCAACACGCAAGCCGCTTTCTTCGGGTTTCCGAAAGAACGGTTCGGGCTTTGAGTATCTTTGAGCGCTTTGTCTTTCTTCCACAGAAAGGCATGACAGTCACTCCCCTCGGAATGTGTTGTGCATTCGGCTCCTCAGCACTGAAGAAACTACAGTCAGGCTCTGAACAGCGTAGCCGCAAGTGTAGATGATTGGGCTATTGTGACATGAAAAGTAGATTAGATCACCTTCATGATCCTCCTTGGGCCACCATGCAACGAGTTTTGTTCCAGCAGGCTCCAGCATGCTTCGTTGATCCTTGATTTGTCTACTCTGCCCCATGATTCCATACATAATCTTGTGTTCTGCCGTGGATCGACGCTTTTGGAACGAATTTTCCCTGGTGGCCAGCTACAGAGTCGCAAGCTCCAGGTCCAAGCAGTTCTTTCCTCAACTCCCAGACCTGACTCAGCCAAACCGAGAACTTCGAAACAATCCCGGTCACCAACTCCAACCTGCCGCACTCCCAAACCACATGTTCCTGAACCAGTTATGAACCATCTCACCTCCAGGAGATGTTTAGGGGTCCTGGTCACGGGCGCATTCAAGAACCCTTGTGAGAGTGCACTTGCCATTCGAGTGTTTTACAATGGAAGCCCTGACAACCAAAAAACGTGAACACCTTTGGGTTCTTTGGGTCCATTCCTTCATTTATTCTTAACCCCAACCCCAGACGCAGAGCAGCGCAGCACCACTCTCTGTCTCCCGTCCGGGCGCCTCATCCGGGCGTGGCCATTCGGACTCCCACCCGTCGTCCCAATTCTCCTGGCAAACATCCGAGTGCGGCGCCACAACGCCTTTCGTGGGTGTCGTGTGGGGGATGCGGAGTGCAACGCCTCTGCGCGGCTAAGTGGGCCTGATTGTTCCACTTGCCCAACTCCACCACTTTGAGCTTGGATCGCACAAGTTTGCAGTTCTTGCCTCTGCATTTGAGTCTGCTGCAAAAAAGAGCACGGGGTACAGAAAGGCGCAGCTGTGACAGGGCCTGGGTGGACTTCAGCTGCTTCAAGCGTCCAACTTTTAGTCGCTCACTGCAAGCAAGCCTTGCTTTGATGCTGCCTGCGGTGGCAGTGCTATCACGAGATAGCCGTGCGCAGATTGGTAGCACACAGTACGGTTGAAGAGATAGGACAAGTGGACAGGTTGCATCCCTATCCACATAAAGTGTACCCGTTTGATCGTGCCAGCTCATCTCACATCCCGGAAATATCTGCAACTCATGCGTGCAAAATGATGGAGATGACATAAAGGACGTGTCCTTGCGTCATTTTGAGATCCCGTCCATTATGGCCAAGTCTACCGTTGACCCTGGCCCGGCCCGAGGCCCGGCCCGGCCCGGCCCTTGCGAACTCCCTTCCCCGGCACAGCCGTCAGGAGGCCAGCTGACGCAGTGTGCAAAGGAAGAATCTATGCATCAAGATGTATCCACAAACATGTTAGAGGAGGGATCGGCAAAGTGTTTTTAGTCTGTGAATCCTTGGCTGAAACTGTGCGAATAAACCCCTTTCTACTGCTGTCGGTCTACGGAGCTGTATTGGGCGCTTAGTTTTGATTAAATCCTTTTTGGTCGATTGATATTCATACCCTTGGGTTTTGGGTTTGGATCAGGATGTAAACCCTTTGTGATCGAGTGAGGGCCCTTACTCGACCAACAAGGGTTTAATCAAAACTAAACCCCAAGTACAGCTCCGTAGACCGACAATATTAGAAAAGGGTTTATTCGCACAGGCTAAAAAACCAGCCGATCCATCCTCTATAAAGTGTTTGTGGGTATATCTTGATGCATAGGTTCTTCCTTTGCCCACTGCGTCAGGTGGTCTCCTTACGCCACGCCGGGGCGGTGGATTTGAGGTGTGGTTTGGTGGATTCCACAAAGGACCTATACAAATGGAAGCCGCAGTGGCCCGGCCCGCGGTGGCCCGGCCCGCCCGGACCGGCCCGGACTATCCATGTCCAAGGTCCAGCTTGCCATCCAAAGATGCTAGTGATCTAACTGTCCAACCCGCAAAGGTCGAATTGCAACACCCCGACGGCGCACAGGTTGTACTTGTGGCTTTGGGTTCCAAGTCCGACTCCCGATCACTCCTGGGGGTGAAAGTGGCAGCAACACCCACCATCCCCGGGTTTAGGAAGGCGAACAAACAGCTTGGGCAAAGGCACGCGTCCGGCGCGCGGAGGTATATATATGGCCCATGTTTGGAGAGGAGACATCGGCCTAAGCATGCTCTTCTTGATGTATTTGTTGGACTTCACGAATCTTCTGAGATCGAAGGACATCGCCATCGCTTCGGGAGCGTTTACCGATCGATGTCGCGAACCACCGCGGACGTCACCCCTTTCGACGCTTCGACCGCCTGGTACGCTTCCGCTTGATTGATCGAGAGGAGATCGTCAACGGCATCTGTGAGATGTCGCAGGGGTTAATAGGGAGAATTCCTTTGATCGCCCCATTTGGGGGTTCAATCTATTTTCCGAACCCAGGGGGTCTGTGAGAGGTTTCTTATATAATATGCATACGCATCCACGTGCAAGTTGCGTTTACAAATCAAAGGCGGAAGGTGATCCAGACTTCAGGAACCCCACTCGAGCCCGCCGCAATCCGCGGCATGACCTTCCACGTACTCCGTACTCCCCAAAGTGCATAATGACCAGAGCTAATTACCCTCCCAAAACACCACATGGACCCTGACAATGCCCCATGGAAGATTGTGTTAATTGTTTTCCTCTACCAACCAGTGGCTTTCAGTGTCCATACTCGTCTTCAAGGAAGAAAGTCGATTAATTATAGTCTGAAAAGGTACTGAGAGCAGCACATTCCGTTGCCACATACCACAATCATCCACAATCACCAAGCGCTTCTTCCCACGACAACTGCTGTGCCTCCGGTCACGTCTGACCTCGCTCCGCGCGACCGAGCCTCGGAGGCCTGCCAGTGTTGAGTGGTCCACACACGAATCTGCTCCTGGCAGCGAGTTGATCATCGCTTGGGCATGAAAAGGCGCGGATTACCCTTCGGTCAGTGACCTCGAACCAGTGATTCAGTTGTTTCATGTTGGTTGTGACATGTTGTGCCCTCTTCAGGAACATTTTTTGACCGAAAAGCCTGGGATCTCAAGGCCGGTTACTCTGAAGGTCCTGGCACCTCATTGAAACTTCGCCAGGCAGGTAGCCTCCCTTTGGTGTCATCAAGTTAACCCATGGTCTCAGCCTTTATCGAGAAATTTCAGCTGATTCTGGAAGGTTCCACTCTCTGCATGCTTGTCCGTCACGAATGGCATTCATGTCCGCACACTCCATGGCATTGCAAGACATGCCGCCCCATTGACGCCTTTTCAACCACCCCAGGTATATATATATATATATATGTTGGGCGGTATAATTATCCTGTATATCCCATTGCCGACAAGTGGGATATGAGTTACTATAATGCAGTGAAAAGTGTTCACCGACTGTTGCCGAGCCTTTGGGATATGTCATCATGTAGACTCTTGATTAGTAAACCCCCGGATTGCATTAGAAATCCTTTTCATATGCGGGGTTGATTGAAGAGTCTACATGACATGGAGCCTTTTGGATTGAAGGATCCAAGCCAAGCACATCCAATTCGATCGAACACCCAGTGGCTCCGGCAGCCTCTTCTTCAGCCGTACAAGTATACCAGAGAAAAGACGGGTCGATATCCTTCATCCAGCGGCCTTTGTTTTTGGGACACCGGCTTAAGTGAAAAGACTTCATCTACACATGTCACATCTCAAATGCATCGCTCATCACAGTTGGCCTATGCAGCCTGCAGCTCTAAGCCACCGCAAACAACAGAAGGCGGGAACAGCTCGAATCATTCGCTGCTTTGCACATCATCCCTTCGACGAGCAAGTCAATACCAATTCTACGACATCAACTTGCACACACATAACTATAAAGTTGAAAAAAAAAAAACATGATCAAAGGCTCAAAGAAGAAAACACACACACACAAAAACACACACACACAAACAAAAAACAAAATACAAAAATAAAACTCGCCGCCCTCCTCCCCACTCCGGGCGACTCTACCTTTCACCGGCTCCTTGACACGCTCCGACTCCTCCTTGGCGCGCCGCGACTCCTCCTTGGCCTCAAGGCCTTGGAGGGCGAAGCGATGGCGACTCCACCGACTCCGGGGTTCGTGAAGTGATAGTGGAGATAGCGGTGGCGCGGTGGCAGAAAGAAAACTGCAAGTTTCTTGACTCCAATGAAGAAAATTGTGCACCTCCTCCACCTCCTCCACCTCCACCTGTAATGTTTGTTTCTTGACCGGAGGGGGAAAACTCAAACAGGACTGGAGGTGCCGGGAGACTTTTGGGGGGAGACCCAAGTGTCCCACGTCATTGTAGCGGGACCTCCCAACCAATCGGTAGACTGGTCTATTTCCATATTCTCTACAGAGCCTTCCAAGACCATTACAAGAATGGTTGACTTAGTGTAGTGAACAAACCTCAGTAAAAATAAATGTTATGATTCAACACCATTAGACAGATTAAGACAATGGTTGTTCGAACCCTAGGGCCCTAGGGCTTATATAAACACATGATCTGACCCTTGGGTGAACATAGATGTGACATCGTGAATCGTGACATTAGTTAAATCACCGGAGATTGTAAACCACTGAAAAAATATACTCTGATCCTTGCACCCGACCCTCCGTCTATTCCCTCTCCGGTGCCACAGTCAAGGGACACTCGGCCTGAGCCTTTCTCGCCAGTTCCTGACGTCATTCGAACAATTTTTAATCATGCGTTTTTCGCACCGCAGAGAACCGTTTTTTCGGACGTGACATGACATGTTTGTTGGACAGTTTTTTTCCTGCGCTGACGTGTTTTCGTGAATGCTGGAGGCTGGGAAGTTTTGCGGACGTTTATTTTTTTCATGTTGGCGGATGTGTTTTTATGTTTTGTGGTTGTTTTTTTACGCTCGGCGGTTCCTTTTTTGTGTTGGTGACGTTATTCATTGCGTTGTTGCGGTTCTTTTGTGCTCTTTTGGAAATGGTTTTATGTTTTCTATGTTTTTTGCGGGCGCTGCCTTTTTGATGTGGGAGGCTGGCGGGTTCCTTTTTTGCAGATGGCCCCATTGAGTTTCCACCAAGAAGGAAGTTTGTATTGTTTTATGTCTTTCGCGATTCCTCAGCCCGCGGCCCTTTTGAACCGGCCGAATGAGGAAGTGGAGCGCGTGGAGTGAGTGGAGTGGAGTGGTGGAGTGGAAAGTGGAGTGGAGAGTCGAGTGGAGAGCGGCGGAGAGTGGATTCGAGTGCGAGTGCACGCGTGGGTGGGTGAGTGGGTGAGTGGGTGAGTGGGTGGGGGTGGGTGAGTGTGAGTGAGAGTGACAGTGACAGTGAGAGTGAAAGTGTGAGAGTGAGAGTGGGAGTGAAGGTGAGTGTGAGTGTGTGAGTGAGTGTGAGTGAGTGTGAGTGAGTGTGAGAGTGAGAGTGTGAGAGTGATAGTGCGAGTGTGAGTGAGTGCGCGTGCGCTGAGTGAGTGTGAGTGAGTGTGCGTGCGCTGAGTGAGTGTGAGTGAGCGTGGGTGAGTGTGAGTGTGAGTGACTGTTGTGAGAGTGCGTGAGTGAGAGTGAGAGAGTGAGAGAGTGAGAGAGTGAGAGCGTGAGAGAGTGTGAGAGTGAGAGTGAGAGCGAGAGCGAGAGCGAGAGCGAGAGCGAGAGCGAGAGCGAGAGCGTGTGAGAGTGAGAGACTGAGAGAGTGAGAGTGAGAGTGTGAGAGTGAGAGTGAGAGTGTGAGAGAGAGAGAATGAGAGAATGAGAGAGTGAGAGAGTGAGAGAATGAAAGTGAGAGAGTGAGAGAGAGAGAGAGAGTGAGAGAGTGAGAGAGAGTGTGAGTGTGAGTGTGAGTGAGAGTGAGAGAGTGAGAGAGTGAGAGAGTGAGAGAGTGAGAGAGTG